TTGAATATTCTTGGGTGTAAATATATTTTATTGATTAAAGACATTTCCACTTTTCATTTTATAAGTCGTTTTTTAGCGCAGTTTCTCATGTATGAAAAAAGGCGCTATTGTGCTCGTCATGTCCGTCCATCCGTCCGTCCGTCCGTGACTTCACGTTTTCGTCGACGAAAAAATGCGCTCTCTGCCACTCACTACAGTGAGTACTGAGTTACATTTATGATAGTTACGTGAATTTCTTTGAAAGTCTCAGATTGCACGTCATGTTAATGGATTTATCACGTCATTAATATTAAAATAAAATAATATGTCTAATGCTGTCTTCTTGTACGAGAGTTCTCATAATAGTTTCTTCGAAGACGATTGGTTTTAGCAAAACTCGACTCGCGACATAATCCTTTCCATGGAAGTTCGACTTGATTACTCATTAATTAATCAATTTCATGTTTAGATTTCGAATTCAACATCAATGTAATAATTACAGATTTGGTGATTAATATAGGACAAGTATCCATCAACTATAAAACTGCAAAAATTATTGATAAAAGATTATGGTCTATCAATAACAAAAGATGCTAGCAATAAATTACTGAACAAACGCCTATCTTCTTTAAGGAGTAACTACTGCAGTACACCTTTAGTCGGCAATGCCCTGCATCCAAGAAAGGCATTAAGAGTTCAATGCAATTATAGCTAAGGCACCATGGGTGACGGTTAATTAACATCTATCACACGAAATTCTTCGCCCCTCTCAGGAGCTTTTCTTCATAATTTGCACAAAAATGTACCACTATAAATTTTGTTTGAAGACCGACCTCAGCCCAACTTAAAATGTGCATCTTCTTGTTTCCAAACAAAGTGCCTTTAGTCTCCGCGTGTCAATGAACCGACGCTCGATTACTTGACTTCCATGATTTAAAAGGAACGCTCTGTAAATCAATTAACCCACCCTTCGATGTTCAGGGCTTTTAGAGCTCGTCTCAGTCGGTTAATCTCAATGTCAACTCCAAGATGTAGATGATCGGTAAACTCGCGACTGTGGACACAATCCTTCAAAATCTTGCCCTCGCTTATTATCTTCATGGAGGAGAATGCGACGATAAGTGTTCCTGATGGAAGTCTGAAGCGCGCTGCTAAATTAAAGTTCGATTCTAGGCCTGCATGTAAATTAGTGTCCAATTGAAGACCAGTCTATAATAAAACACGTCTTTGTATTGTTTCTCTAAATTTTGCATTACTTGAAGGTTAACTACAGTAACTGATAACTGTAAATGTATTGCAAATTTGGAAAATATAAGAACATAAGAAAAATTTTAATTTTTACCGTATGAAATCAACTTCCCTTGCGCGTGAAGACTTTATATAAACTTTTTTTTATCCAAGACTTCCGTGAAATGTGCATTGCCCAACTTCATAAACCATACTAAAAGTTTTTAAAACTTCTTAAATTGCTTCGCGAACAACGGCCAACGACATTAATACTTCAGGTATTTGAAAAGTGTATTCAAATCACATCTAACAGCTTACATGCGATAGTTCGATGAGCAAATTGTTATTCTTTCGAAAGAAATGCAGCGTTAATAAATTGAATGACGTTAACCCGAGCTTCAGAAGAACAGATTAATTTTACAACGAGAATAATTTGCAACCAATCATTTTATTACTAAATTACTGCCAGTCTATAGATTTATATCATATCAAATATCATCAAAATGACCAGGAATATTACTTTCTAAACTACATAGAATGACCCCGTTTATTCACGCAGCTTTTGGGAAAAATTCCCTACTCGGCCTCTTTAAGAACGACCATCAAGAAACAGTGTTTGCTGGTCTATATAACACAGGGCCATATCTCTCGTCATTACATCACATTACTTGAAATCTGGGCTCGCTGTACCAGCACTTGATTAAGCTTTAAATCTCGTGCCTACTTACCAGTTCTCATCAACTCTTGCTGTCCCATAGCTTCCATATTTTTTTCTCTGGCAAATTTTATATTTTATTTGTTGTGAGCAACCCTAAATAATTAATTTATATTTTAATTTTGGGGTGGTTTGGTTTTTCACATTATTTGAACGATGTGGCTCGCCTTAAACGTGGATGTTAGTTTCCTGAAGTAAACCCATATTAAAGTAAATTGTCTTTGCGAAGAAAAACTATAATAAGTGCTATTTAAACGGTACTATTAATGTCTCCAGTGTCTTTTGGAAACTTAATACGGTTGGCACGTTAACTCTTAACTTTAACTCCTCTTGCATTAATTGCCGAAATGTGTTCAAGCCATGACCTTTAAATTCAGGAACTGCGGCGACTTTTGAATTATTGAACCATCGCCGGTTTCAGATAATTGAAATGTGGTCGCAATTGTTTACTGTGTATTAATTTTACTTGCGGTCTCGAACGTATGTCTCGCCTCTGAAATTCACTCCACCGAGGATATACACTTATTTTTGCTTAAACATGGTGTGCAGGTTTCTTAAACTTTATTTATTAAATTTACAAAATTGAATATTTGAGCAATGTTCGACCTTGACGGGTAAAGTAACTCAGTCCATTTCTCACACACAAAATCTTCTTCTCATCAGCTGCCGTCATGCGCGCCCGCCTGGACCTTAAAATCGTTCTAATTTACGATAACCTACGTTAAAATCTGGGACCCTCAAAGCTGAAGAACTTTAAGCACCGATTAAATCTTATTAAATTACTTAAATAGTCCTCGATTTATTTTAATCCCTTTGAAAGATTATCAATTGATCAATTCTATATGAGGTTGACCTCCAGCTTTGGGAATAAATCCTTATACGGGGTTTAGATCGTGCTAAATTTTTTTACTTTTTACTATGAATAACAGGGCAGACTATGACATCAGTTAACAAGCAGAAATTATAATTACTTTGTGAGATTATAATATAAAGAAAGCCTGCGCGGCTTTAAATGATGCTTAGGAAATTACATTAGCATAATATATTTCATTCTCAACTTGAATTCTACAATCATTAATATGAACCCCATAGTTGGGTCAAAAATGAACTTCATAACTAAATATTTAAAATATTTTACTATATGAATGTTAAAGCTAAAAATAAGAACTTTGATGTATAATAATTGTCATGACAATTTACTAAATTGTGTTGGAACAAAATAAATTGGCACCGTGATATGGAGAATTTGTACTGTGATTATTATTCTGCTTTCTTTGAACGTTCGTCTGAAATATCATGCGCTGCATATTATATATGAATGAATAGATGAATAGACTGCATGCTGGCAGACATATCGGGTTCCTGAATAGATGTGCTATTGATCATAAGCAGTTATTAATTGTGATGATCACATGCTATGGTAGCTGGAAATGACTTGCAAAAAATGCCCGTGTAGGTACCTAACTATTAAACTTGAATATAGAAAAATATTGCACGAGAAACTTCTAAAACTCATCACATGTACTTATACTACAAAGAATAAAGGCTACTTTTACTACGTTCTTCGAACGTGCGTGGATATGTTACTTATATTATTATTAATATTCTACGAAGCATTTATCATGACGTCTGGTTCAAAGAACTTCGAGGGCACGTCACATATAAGATTCTGTTTAGGTTGATATAAAATGATGCTTCAATCTTATATACATGAATTGTTATTATAAACTTTCGGCGTTAAGGGGTGATAGATAGCATGTTCAAGAGTTATCCGTATTGCAGACAGTATTATTGATTTACGTACAGTGAAATTTTACACTACGTGTTCGGTGATTAGCTCCTGAACCTGTCGTTAATAACTGTAAATAAAGCGTTAAAATTTTACTGGCATTGCAATGTCTTATAGTTAGTGAGCAATCATTTCAAATTGGAAAACAATTGAATGAATTGGCCGTCATTAGTATATGATTTTTTTGTCCATATAGATTTTCTTTATCATGCTGGTCACTGAAGGCCTGAAGTTGTATCGCGAGTCATAAGTGTGCCAAACGCCGTGCTCCTGAATTTTATTGAAGAAAATAGCATATAATTTCATGAATTAACGTGCAGCCCTGACCCAAGCCATCGTTTTTTGACGATTAGAAATGCCGTGCGCTCATTTGCGACGCCATAAATTTGGTACGTTGATTAGAAAACGTCTCTCTTCAAAATGAGCTCGACGATAGAAACTGTATTGCTGGTAGCCATACAGTTCATCAGATGTGCAAATGAGTTCCGGCGAAATTTGGACCGAAATATAAAAGTACATGCTGAAGCGAGGTGACTTGTTAAACATATTAGCTTTACTCATGTCATGGCCTTGTTTTAGTACGTAATTACAAGTCTTGAAGAAGAATAAATGAGTTGCAGCTACAGCCAAGATAAAATTTCCAATGTAAGAAGAAGAAACATTTGACAAAATAAATAACTCTACTCAAAGAATCATGACCCCGGACGAAGTTTAAAATTCTCATCAGTTTAAATAAAGTTGTAATGTACTTTAAAGACAAAAATGCTGATTTTTTATGATTCAACTATCACCTAGAATCGCCAGCTCGTTCGTTCAATTGAACCGGATCATGAGCAGACAAAATGTAATTATAAAACTAGATAAAATTTATGATTGAATTCCAATGAAATTTTTATATTTAAAACGGCCTGGGTACAAATGAAGTTGGTATCCGTCTTTTAAGGAGCACAGATAAATCCATTTTTGAACGAAATTATTCTATTTTGTGGGATTTAGATAAATATATACGCTTACATGTCATTATCTTAAATTCTTCAAGTATATCAATCCCTAGTACCTAATCTAAAATTATTATTGTTATTGGTATTATGGTTATTAATATTTTAATTACTATTATTATGTTATTGTAGTCCTTATTATTATAAATACTATTAAATATATTGTTCAAACATCGAGTTTATCGTTACTATCGGTAAACTCGATAATAACTATAAAATTCCAGCACAAATAAAATGCCCTCACCCTCCCCCAGACAATTTGAATACCTACATAAATAAACTGAATAGCAAGCGTGTGACATACAAAGAATTATAACTAAACTCGAGACGTACGGCACAGCAATGAAGCTCAAGATAATATTCTTCTGGTGCATGTTTGTGTACGACAAGCTCGTCTCAGCCGACACCATGGAGAGGTTGTCAGGCCGCAAGCTCCCTCAGAACTCCGTCGTGTCGTCGCGTCCGGTCAAAAGTGTCTGTAAGTATTTTATTTTTAATTTAAAATAATAAACACTATAGGAAAAGTATTTTTCATATAGAAAAGAGTTTGAAAACGGCTTTGCAATACCCCAGATCTTAAGTAAAATCAGCTTGCAATTAGTGACATATAAACCTTCAGCAACCTTTTATCGACTCCAATCAAGTGGTTTGGAAATAAACCCCACGTTGCTTGTTCAGGGTCTGACATGCTTTAGAGTGCATTTTGCAGCGTTGCTCGTGTTTATGGTTTAAAAAAGTTCACTTTTGAGTGTAGTACTATTAAAAACTTCAAAATTATTCAACCACTTCTTATTATTGTATAAAAATCGCTTTCAACTCCATTTTTGGAATTGGCCAAGTATTAAGCTGTTATTTTCTATCAATGAATATTTCACCGTCGTATATTCTTTTCCATCGAGCATTGTTCAATATCTACTATAACGTTTGACATTAGCTTCTGCAGTGCTAGTTTCGCTTATTATCTGATGCTACGGTTGAGTTTTGTGTTAAACAATAATTTTGAAATGATGGTCATGAATTCAATAGTGTCAGTGATATATAATAGTTTAATATCAAAATTCATTAAGTTGATTCGTTTTCAATACTCATTTATTGCGTACTCACATAAAGTTAACAGATCTCCAAAAATGAAAAATTAATCTGTGTAAAAAATGCGTTCCATGCAAGTCACTTGAATGATGATCTTAATCTCTTATTTAGATATAATTTCCGTATTATTATTCCTGTTCTATATTATTTTGTACCAAATTATTAGCCCTTAATTTTTAATCTGTTTCTGAATAAGCTGAAACTTGGCTATGTGTCGAAATGAACACCAGAGCCAAATCTTATTCTTAATCAAAGTTCGAAGCATGTAATTCATGCATCACAGAGCAAAAGAGGTTCTTATCACGCGACACACGATGAGCTCGAAATAAAGTAACCAACTTTCGTTGATTATTTCTTGTTGATTATCTTTCATGTGCTGATGTTAGTGAAATATTAGGCCCCATAGACACTTCACTATTTGCCATGCTATTTATCGGTAGTTCTTCACGACGAACTCAATTGTGATTAAGTCCACGGTAATTGCTGCCAGTATTTCAATGCTCGCCTCGTTAGTCACTGTGATACAGGTGGTTCGTGCTGAACATCGGCCAAACAATTCAGAAACTTTGATTAGAGTGCAAGATCAAAATTGGGCGCAGACCTAGAACAGTAATCTAGAAGTGTAAACCATTGCTATTCCATTAACGCCTACCATTGCCATGCCATGAATGATCTTGCCATGCCATTAATGATCACTGCACGACTGGCCGTAGAATGCGACCTATTGAAGACAATAGTTAGATTAGTTCTTCGATAAAAGCTTATTCGAAGAAACATCGTAATTTGATCCAGAAGTTCATTGCTATTCTGGCCCTTATAGCTGAGAATAATTGCTATTCTGGTCTTTGTAAGATAGAGTAGCAAAGATACGTAGGTATTTATGACGACTATGTATCACACTGATGTTTTCATGGTCACTAAAGTGAAACTTTTTACCAAATAAAAGTTCAAATCAACTACGATGTCCAACAGGGATATTATGACTAGAGTTAAATTAATTAATAAATTCCTTATTTTCCACACTAATTCAATGGCTACAACGAACGTACGCCTAAACAGGAATCGGGCAGAGACCGAGAAATAATGCAAATTAACAGATTATTTAACTATTTACATTAGAATTAAATGTGTTTAACATAATGGAGATTTAATATTTAATGGCTACCCACGGTGCTTGAGTCATACCTCGAATGAGAGAATTTATCATTTATGTATAATGCAAAATACAAGACACAATACATAGTATTTGAGGGAGCCTCTAGTGTTAGAGTTGTATGATATATGTATGTGTCAAGTAAAATATAATCTATATTTTACCTCAGCTTACCAATCGTTTCCGATTTCATCTAGAAGAGAATTGTGCTATCAATCTAGCGCAGGTTCCTGATGATTAACATCAACTCATCATCTTCTATTTCTTGATGATAAACAAGGCAATCAATCTTGTGCATGTGCCTTTTGATTATCACCCACTTTTTTCTACTTTTCTTGATGATAAATAAGGCTTCTTGCTGGCAATCACTTGAACGCAATAGTCGATGTTCAGTTCTCAACCTTCATATGAGCGGAGCTGAAATATTTCGCAATTTTATGGCTAAGAAATCTTCCGTACATTGGGGTAAAAAATTAAAAAACAGTGTAAGGATAACTAAAATCTCTTTTTATAAGCATTCAAAGAACTTGCATAATTTCTGAAATCCTCATTTATAATGGGGGGTTGATATGTTACAGATTCAAGAGTTGATATGTTAAGATTCGTAGGATTGAAAGATTTTTCATCAATTCTTGGTCAAGTGAAGCATAGTTTGTTCTTAACTAGCAGATATAACAGGGTTGTACTTTAACTATGTACTATTCCTAGACCCATAATTATTAAATAATATTAATCCCGCAATCCTGTCTCGTTTCCATCATTGCAAATGATTATATATGTGAGTTAATAAAATCTATTATTTTTCGCTTATATATGTGAGTTAATAAAATGTATTATTTTTTGCGAATGTATTTAAATTGACTTCGTTTGTAATTTGTTCGCCTTAATAGATGAACGTAAAATATTTAATGCGATGACTCGGAGTTCCGTGGGTACGTATGCTAATTTTATTACCACGTTTTTCTTAGCTCACTTTCGTGTCCGTCTGTCTGTCTGTCTGTTTGTTTGTGATGATCAAATCTTGCAATCAATATTTCACCAACTTTCCCGCTAGCTAGCGCTCTGAAACTTTTAGGGAAGCTCAGCTCCCGAAGACAATACAATAATCAATAATTTGTTGCACGTTTCCAGGCGTATTTATTCAATGAAATGTCTTTATTACAGCCACGCACCCAGATATAAACGGGAACAACTATGTATCCCCTCAAATACAATTTTCTACAGAACTTCGAAAAGAATTTTCTTTCGTGCATTTGCGTGTCCAACTGAAGTAAAATGAATATCATGTAGGATGGACTAAAAAGGAGATAATAAAATACTTTAAAAAAATTTTTTTAGACACGTTTTTCTTGTGGACTAAAAAGTAGAAAATAAATTATGTCTCGCCCCAAAAAACGTGGGTCGGGCAGATTTATGATTAAAGCGACAAGCACACAACACACGAATTTTGGAAATTTGATGGTGAACGTACAGCCCGACCCACGTTTTTTGGGGGCGAGCCATAATTTATTTTCTACTTTTTAGTCCACAAGAAAAACGTGGTTTTTTAAAAAGTTTTTTTAAGTATTTCATTACTATATTAGCAAATGATGTTATCAATGAGTTAATATGTATTATTCTTTCTTTGCGAATGTATGTGAATTGACTTCGTTTGTTCTGCGTTCGCCTCTGAAGGTGAATGTAAGAATAGTTGTTTCGATGACCTGGACTGTCGTGGGTGCGAGAGCGAGCCTCTTCCTAACGGTCGTCAGATGTGTCACTTCACCAACACCAACTTCACCAAGTCTGACTTCAGCACCTCAAACGGCTCGGTCTCCTTCATTAAGCGTGAGTCTTGTAGTCTTCCTTACAGGCCAATATCTTAATACTAATACCCGTTTAAAATGATATTATATATATATTTTATATATTGTCAATTATTTACCTAAATAGATATATTTTGCATTATTATCTTTCATATATTATATTATTTATTTTTTGCTATAATGTGTCATTTGGATACCTATTCGGTAGCCCAGATCCATTGAATGTATTTTAGGGGGCGGTCTTGTCAAAATAAGCATTGCACATCAGAGTATAAAGAAATTTCTAACGCAAATCCGCAGTTTTGATCTTCCCACTATCTCAGAAGATGCTTGTGTACAGGGATTGTAGTGTACGACAGAACTACTTTCAAATGCTAATCGCTACTATACTATTACTAACCGTGATACTTGCCCCGTGTATAGGCGCCACTGACCACAGAGGGACCCGAAGTTAACCGTTTAGAAGAGGCAAGTAACATCATAATTAGGTACCGTTAGTATTTCAAATGCTGGCTGCCACTAATGTCTCTGTGTACTGGCACCTCTAGCATTTGAAAGTTGTACTGGGCGCCACTAACTGACCCCAGGCACAGGGACCTTTTATCATAGCTACGGCCAGTAAAATTTTTAGATGCATCTCAAAATTTCACTGGCCGCCTCCACCGTTTCCGTACACAAGCATCTTAAACCATTTAAAATATATACTAATAATAGCGGTTTCAGCGTTTAGTAGGCCGTAGGCCTGTCGCCGATTCTTAATAACGCAGAACATTCACAGCATTTTGCGGTCTCGAACGCACAACTCACTGCTACAATTCTGCTGTGCTTAACCGCCCGGCCTCCTTGCCGATTCTGACCAGAAACTGGCGCACAGAGCTGGGATCGAACCCGCGCCTCTCTGCGCCAATCTTGGTACTCTGAACTGTAACAACTGGGCCACCCTGCCACCCAACCACTGACCGCCACTACTGGCCGCATGTACAAACACCTCGACTCCTGATGGTGATGTTTGTTCGGTTTGCAGATGGTCTGTGCGACCCACCCTATTTTCCTTTGGATGGCGTGGGTTGCATCTTCGTGTCGTCTGAACCGTTGCTCTTTCATGAAGCTGTCATCAGCGGCTGCCCTCCAGGCTTCAGGCTCTTCACTCCCTCGGACGACCAACAGTACTGGGCAGCAACGAAGTATCTCTTGGAAAAGTGTGAGTATCAGTCCCTACGTTAAAAAAACGTTAAATTAACGGAGATTCGGTCAAATAACGTTCAGTTCAACGTTGATTCATCTAAACATCGTTTAATTCAACATTAATTCAACCAAAAAAACATTAACTCAACCAAACAAAGTTTAATTCAACATTAATTCACACAAACAACGTTTATTTCAACGCTGACTCAAGAAAATAACCCTTAATTTAACGTTGATTCAACAAAACAACATTAATTCAGCGTTGACTAAACGTCAGATTTCTGTCGGTGTGCAGTGCTGGGCAGCGATGAAGTATCTCAAGCAAAAGTGAAAGTACCTAAACATTCGAACGTAGGAAAGTATCGTTTGCGTCTTTTAGCACGCCAGCACCGCCTTACTATTGAATAGCGGTGAAAAAAAACTACACCAGTGCAGTACAGCAAGCTACTGCATGCCATTACTCACTACATGACAGCAACATCGTGTCATTAGACGCAACATGACAGCAACATCGTGTCATTAGACGCAACATGACAGCAACATCGTGCCATTAGACGCTACATGACAGCAACATCGTGTCATTAGACGCTACATGACAGCAACATCATGCCATTACTCACTACATGACAGCAACATCGTGTCATTACTCACTACATGACAGCAACATCGTGTCATTACTCACTACATGACAGCAACATCGTTTTTTTTCGCTTCATCCATTGTTCGCGATTATGGCTTAGTGTATATTTTATAAAAAAAATATTATAAAATATTTATATAAATATTTTTTATCGTTGTCCTAAAATCATGTTCCTGCATTAGAGAATTTGTATATATTTTATTGAATTTGAGACATATTGCCCACACACTAAAACTATACGAGAAAATGACTTAATTAAATTCATGGTGCATTTCACATAGCATGAGCATGGCCATGGTTGAACTAGTATAACGTTGACCCATCATAAGCCCATTTTGCGGATGTAGCTCGTTGTTCGCCATCACCGAAATGCGATCAAACCAGTCGACCAATCAGGCATGGGAATGACGGGTTTGTTTACGTTTCTCGATCTACGTGACGTAACAAGAAAGCTGAACTGAAAGACGGAACTTCTCGTGGGTCAACCTTTTATAGTTCAACCGTGAGCATGGCCTTCCTCAGATCTTCAGCCCCGTGATGACGGAAAGTGCGGACCGAACTTCCCGCTTGCGGACGGCACTCCGGCGGCCTGCAACCGAACCGGGCCTGGGCCTGCGATGTGTTGCCGCTCTAATGGAACATGTACTAACGAAACGTTGTGCACCGCGCCCGGAAGTGTCGATTACAGAGGTAATTCTTCGCTCCTCGGAATGGCATTTATGAGTAATTTAATAACATTTAAGGAATATGAAGAAATTACTAAATGACAGAATCGCGATTATACGCTCCTGAGTATGATATGCATGCATGGGTAAACCGAGACTATTTCAGGAACCCCTTAAAATTAATAATTTAGTGAGTCGAAATTCCTGGTATGAGTCCGACTGTCTTCGATTGACTTCCTAGCATGAGCGCCTGTAATTTTATAAAAAAAAATTGTTCAACCGGGTTTTGATAATATGATTTTTTTTGCAAACCGTGTAAATATTTATAGACAAGTTCCTATCATGGGTAGTAGCATGTATGCTGACTCTACACAACCAGTGGGCAGAATTTAACGAATCATGACTTCAGGTGAGCCTGAATTTATTGAATATTCTTAAATCTAATAGCCGATTCTACCGCAGCTTTGACTAAATCAATGTGGACGAGCTTGACGATGGTTGGTTCTGAATGGAAGTTCGACAACGGCCGAGTGATTCCGAATGCTACCGGATCAAGCTACTGGGGACCTTACGATCCGAAAAGCGGTACAGCAATTCAATGCGCCGCCATGTGGTATGCCCCCGGCAGAGACACGCTCTACCATCTTGCCAACGCCGACTGCAACAGCTACAAGGCTCCGTCCTTCTGCCACCGACGAATCTGAATTTTTATAACACTTCTCTTTAACTTCACTTCATGTTTGTTTGTTTGTTTGTCTGCTACAAATCGTATAATCGATATTTACCTCACTTACAGTATACCTCTCCTATCAATCTGATATTTCGCACATTTGCGTAAAGTTGGATACAATGCATGGATCAATTGACAAAATATATAATTAAAAATAATTAACACAAAAAATCTGAAAAAATCATTTTGTCTGCTACAAATCTTATAATTGATATCTAACACACTTCTAAATGTCCAATCGATCTGAAACCTTGCACACTTGCGTAAAGTCGGAAACAATGCATGGATCAATTGACAGAATAAGTAATTTTACAAATTTAAACGTGTTCTATGTATTAAAAATAGTAATACAAATTTTTTTAATATATAATGATAAAATTGGAAATTCATGGTACATGTGTAACATCAGAAACACTGAATTCTTTAGAAGTGTTGTCTTTGAAAAGTAATTTTCAAGCACATATTATATGTTTAAATAACACTAGCTATCGTCAATGCCACATAAGGCGTCACTCAGTAGCTACTGCACTTACTCGCCGTTGATCATTAAAAACCTTATAATACTGATCAGAATAAAGATTTGCTGGGTCCGATTGCCACATAATAACTAACAAACATTTTCGATCGCGCTAAAAAAAACTGGCACTCAGTTGTGTTAACATAGAATATATTTTCTTTTGGAGGCTGGCGACATATGTTCTGTGGCGGAGAAATTGACGGAAGTCGAAATATAACACAGTTATGGCACGCCTATGCTAAAATAATTTTAACGCGGATTTCCTACAATAATTCGCTTTTTTTTGTGAGATGTCGATGCATTTATCTCATTACAATATTGTGTGTTATCAGAACATTTATATAGCTGCATTGTGACGTCTGTAGTACTCATTGTATTATAGATCATTAAACCAATATTATAAAATGGAGGAAAACCTCGAAAACTGCACATTATCGGTAGTCTTTCTCATGCAACTCATTTTTTCGCTGCTTTAATCGAATATCACATACCAGCTATTAGAATAGCGGAAGTAATTTAATTAGCCTTATATTTCAATCACAGCTGATCTCTAGAAATTATCAGCATTTTCCTAGTCTTATGAACAACTTCAGTCGCGTGGGACCTCAAACTCGTCCTGTTTCAACTGAACTAGAAATATTCTTAAAAAAATGTTCTCATGCTGAAAAATGAGTTAATGCACTGTTTAAGGAACTCTAAATTACTATATTATCATTTATCTCTATATGTGATTATATTTTATGATAAACTGGTTTGTAATTATAATATAAGATAGGACCTGAAAACAATTTTCAAATCCTCGTGAACGAGAAAATGTTACATTAATTATTTAACAAAAATTTGCTACAATAGAACGCACCTTAATCTGTGAACAATTAACGCTCGCTTTGCACTTCGTAAACCTCATTTTTAAAATACATTCTTTACACGGATTAGTGTTTCATTAACACAACACAGCATAGTGATGACGGCGCTGAAGAGTAGGCTGATGTGGCCGTTCGCCGATTCTTGTAGTTCACGTGACTTATCCACAGGAGATCTAAAAAATGGTCAGGTCCTTCGACCGGATCTTTTCCAAACTGACGATAGTTAGAAATAGCTAATAGACTTCCGCCAGGTTCGCTATGGTGCTAGGCATTTCAAGTCTGAACATACATTTATCCTAATCTTTGTTTAGGCTGTTCATGAACGAGTTTATACTCGGAGATTCAACGATGTAATTGAGATGGCTGTTACACATGTTGGTGATTCGAAGCAAGAAGAAATGTTGTCGAGTGGATGTGCTAATCCATTATTATTTACTTACTTCAAAGTAAACTTAAAATATAATGACCAAACACTAAGAGAAATTAGAGCGATATTATGCATTTTTTGATCGTGTACGGGTCATCCTGGAACATTTTGACCCTGTAAAAGGGCTTATCAGTGTTAGGCGCAGAAAGTTCTTCACTGTTTGAGCAATATGACCTATTTAATTTTTTATGGGAGAATCACGAAAAATACCTAATTTCTATATTAATGCTATCAATATACGCTATAGCTTTTAATACCAAAGACATCTCAATCACTGCTCTCGGATGTAACCACGGGAAATTGAGAAAGTTCTTTCCATACATAACTGAACTTCATCCGTGGAGCACAGATTGGCAACTTTGCAGATCAATAATTTAATTATTTAAGAATTTTATGAATATAAATTCAAATAATGACGGCTTTATCCTCATCGATAGGGTTAGAATAGACCAGAAGACCGGCTGGAAAAGTGTATTATAGGCCCAGTCAAGTTCTTAATTGCCGAAGAGAACAAGTTGAATATGGCTCGTAATGTTCTTTCTTAAAAGATGTTATAAAATACACTATAAATAATGGTTATAATTTATGTATAAATGAAGTTGATGTAATTTACGGTTTCGTGGTTTCGATACCGTATAATATATCATAGTAGCGTGTTTTATTTTTTATTTATCGCAACAATCCGGAACTACATCCCTTGTTCATTGATGCAATCTGCTTCAGTCAACTTTCATGCGAATTGCTATCAGAAATTTACATTTGGCTGGTCGCGTAACCACAAATCACTGCTCAAATCTTGATGCTTTTAAGAACTCAGCTGCACCGCTAAGCTTAAGAAGCATAAACCTTGATGTGACGAAGGCTGTCCTTCATCGGGGTTCATTTCACTCACTCGGATACCTCGAACATTTAAGAACACCAACAATTTAATAGAGCAAAACAAGAAGCAAAATTTACATTAAAGGATAACGTTATGCATTAAACTATTTGTCACATTAGCTGGTCAGTCTACCGATTCAACAGGCGACATCTGCGAGTTCCTTAACCATGCATGATAGTCTGCAGCGCGACTCCGATCCTCAAAGTGGGAAGTCGGTCCACGCGGTGAACATTGAGCACGGAAAGCGTCAAGGACGAGCTTGGAGAGTACCACCTCGTGTCCAGTCCACTCGCGATCCGCAAGCCTACACATTGAAAATAATAATACATATGAACTGACCGAGACTAATTATTTAAGCACGTTAATTACGGAATCGCAATATTATCACTAAAGAGCAACTGAATATGAAATAGATGCAGCATATTTTATTGTCTAATCTCAATTTGGTTGAACGGAACATCTTGCCAATAAAGGCAGGGTAGGTTGACTGGAACCAAATCAAGTAAAGGCGTAATGATTATCGTCAATCACTAGAAATGGGTTGTTCACAGGAGGACTGCTGGGTAACGACTAGTCTAAGGCCCGGTCTATCACTCTGTCGAGCGTTTCCAACCGGTGCCCTCTAGAATTTAATTTACCACCTTACACTTGAGATAATATCTAACACTTTTGCCCAGTGGTTACAGTTCAGTGTAACAAGATTGGCGCATAGAGGGGTGGGTTCGATCCCAGCTCTGTGCGCCAGTTTCTGGTCAGAATCGGAGAGGAGGCCGGGCGGTTAAGCACAGCATAATAATAATAATAATAATAACAAATAATAATAATAATAATAATAATAATAATAATAATAATAATAATAATAATAATAATAATAATAATAATAATAATAGCGGTTTCAACGTTTAGTAGGCCGTAGGCCTGTCGCCGATTCATAACATCGCAGAATATTCACAGCATGTTGCGGTCTCGAACTCGCAACTCTACAATTCTACTGTGCTGCTACAATTCTACTGTGCTTAACCGCCCAGCCTCCTTGCCGATTCTGACTAGAAACTGGCACACAGAGCTGGGATCGAGCCCTCGCCTCTCTACGCCAATCCTACACTGTACTGTAACCACTGGGTTCACTCAATGTAATGTAGTGAGTTGCGCGTTCGAGACCGCACAATGCTGTGAATGTTCTGCGATGCTATGAATCGGCGACAGGCCTACGGCCTACTAAACGCTGAAACTGTTGATTTATTATTATCATAAAAGCCATTCATACATATGACGATAGATTTTTCATATACCACTTATAATCTAACTTCTGAAAATTTATCCAATGATATGGATTAAATATATGTTATATAAAATATGTTTATATCCAATGATATGGAACAAATATAAAAAAATAATGAATTTCATAATTTTTTCCTCGTATATTTCATTGTTCAAAAAAAAAATAGATTTCCACGAAAGTGCAGATCATGGTTTCAACCATGGTTTCAACAACCTTTCCCCTTCGAGTGCGGATTGCAACAGAAATCCGTTCTTGAGCTAACAGATTTCCTTCGCTTCCTGTTCCAACTACTAAAACGGAAAGATTCTAGAAGCTATGTTTCAGCTGTGTTTGCGTTTTGTTATCATTTAGATAATTGATTTTAAGAATAACTTTTTGATCATAAAATCAGTTTCTTAGATGGATTCGCTCAGAAAGTGGCTCTATAGACCAAAGGTAAGTTATAAATCGGTGAACAAATTACAAGGGATTTAGTACCTTTGAGATAATACTTTCTACTTGAGTATTTATTACCTCACTTTTTATCAAACTCCATCTACATAATCCTCAAGTATATTGTTTATTCAGAGACTCATTGAAAAAATATTATAGAATTACAAGGTTATTAGTGGTCTTTATTTTAACAACTGAGTGACAGTCTGACTCACTGACTGTCGTCTGTCTGACAGAGTCTCTGACTCTCAGTCTCATGCCTAGAAAAAACTCCACGACCACTGCCTCCAGCCTATCTTCTCCAAAATGACTAAAGTTGTCACTTTTACAATAGGCTACTGGTCATAGTGGCAAACCACAGCTTTTTTAGAATCAGTTCATTTTCAATTTCCTCATTTACCCAAGATTTAAACCAATTTCTTAAGTATGATGATGCTAGTATCCAGGATACTTTACTGGTCTACTTATAGCAGGATGGAATTCTAATTTTGAAGGTTCATATATTATTTCGATCCACCAAGACCACTTTTTCTATCCAACATTGTTATTTGAGGCAAAAAATGAACTTCTTAAAGGCATAAAATACATAGGCTAACTTGCTCAGTTTACTCATACTTTGGTGTGATATCGAAAAGTTTGTTGGTATTGTCCAATCGTGAGATTTTTAAGATTCTGGATGTGTTTTATTTTTATTTTAGAATGTATTCATTGCAAAAATGTGTCCGCTAGCCTACAGATAAACGACTAGTTAACTTGATTCGGCGTTGGCAACACGGGATTGGATTTCATACCACGCGCGATTTCGGAAGAGCGGCAGGCAGTTTCCAATGAGCTCAGTTTATATGATTTCACTGCAGTGGAAGGTGAGGTGGTGTAACGCGGTGGTAGGGTTGATTTTTCGATACGTTTTCATATATTAACATGAGAATATATTAACTATACAGAATTCCACACTGACTTATAGGACTCAAAAATGAACTTGAGGGAGAGTCTAAAAAACTCTCTGCTTTGCCACTATGCTACTGGTCAAAACTATGGAATCCACAGTATGGATTGTAGGGTTTGACAACCACATAGGGTAAACGCGGTATATTCCGACATCGTAGGTAATTCCGTCACCTCTCCAGCTTTTCCTTTATATTAAGCTTTGTTTTAGTTCCATGCGTTTGTTGATGGTTGAAATGGTGACGTCATGCAGGGTGGAATTCTAGAAATGGAGGTTCACTTATAAAAAAGCTTTCCACCCAAGGTGGAATGCTTTCCTTGGCTACAGTGCACTGCCAGGTGACTGACTATAAATGAAAAGGAGTATCAAAATTGGACAAACTGTTTCAATTGTATAGTACCTCAGATTTGTTATAAAATTGTTTGAATGTCTCATGTTTGATAGATATTCCCTATTTTTCTTTTATTTAATGGATTTTTTTAAATTTGTCCAGGCTTTTTGTTTGTAATGATCAAGTTTAAGCTAAGTATTTAGTTAACCAGTACTGTAGTACATATACCATATTTGGGGGTGGGGCTTATGGGCACAACCAATCACAGCTGGAAAGCATCCCCATCAACCAATCACAGCTTGAAAGCATCCCCAGCAACCAATCACAGCTGGAAAGCATCCCCATCAACCAATCACAGCTTGAAAGCATCCCCAGCAACCAATCACAGCTAGAAAGCAGATAACATTACAACTCCATTAACCAATCACAGCTGGAAAGCTGGAAGGGGTTAAAATCACAATCCCATAAACCAATCACAGTTGAAAAGTGATAGGATATGTATAATGTATATAATAAAATGAACTGGAAGTGGAAAGTTCCTGGACTTTCCAAACTTTCAGGTCCTGCTTTCCAATATGCTATGTGTACTGGTTAATTTAATATCCCTCTAGAATTCCACACTGACGTCATGCATTTGCAAGTCAAAATACTGCCAAAACACTAGGTCTTGGTCATCTAGTGACTAGTGGGAAAATATTGAGATCCAAAGAGAGACAATGCATGCCACGTGGTGAGATCATCGAAAAATGTGTCAAATTTGACAGTTGACATGGCTCTACCAAATAGTGAATAACTGTTTTTATAGGAAGAATATTATGGTTTGAGACTTTTAAATACGTCTGTGAATATATTAGGAATCCTTTAAGTATACTTGTATTCGCTGATTTCAAGTCGTAAATAAATTAATAGATGATTAAGTTGAGATGTTGGATTTCGACACATGAAAACTAATTCCGACACAACTTGAATTGGACACACACAGATCGTTCAAAGCTTTGTACAAAAATTGAAATTTGCTTAATTAAAAGCCTAATAGCTGTTAATTAAAACGTAATTAAGTAGTGTTCAATATTCGTTAGTGTTCTAATTCAAAGCCGTGTTGTATCCCAATACAGCTCACACAGCAAACGGAATTCGAACACGTGGATGTCGGCAATACGTATCAGTTAAATTTGAAGCGCTGACGCAATACGACTCACCACGTGTCGGATGTTGCCACACAAAGTGACGGAATATAGGGATTTGGTAGGTTTCCATTCTAAAGGCTTTTTAATAAATATGGCAACATTTTGTGACGTTTCATCGTTGCTGACGCGTAGTGAAGTGTTTTGAGAGTCATGTGAAGGCAACAGAACTTACGTAACGCATACGTTTTTTTTTATCGTTTTTCATTTCTTGATGCGTCCTTAATGTGTCAGAATATACCGCGTTTACCCTAACCTACTTGATAAATGCATGCTGTTTTGATTGCACTGGAAGCTGGAAAGATTTTGTTCAGTTTAGTTTATAAACTAGGTTGTTTCTATTAGAGGCTGGCAGTGGCTACTCAAGTGCTGCTGGCAATATTAGTAGCATTAACAGTTTTGAATTTGGATTCTTGTAGGAATTGTAGGGTAAACGCGGTATATTCCGACATCGTGGGTAATTCTGTCACCTCTCCAGCTTTTCCTTTATATTAAGCTTTGTTTTAATTCCATGCGTTCATTGATGGTTGAAATGGTGACGTCATACATTTGCGTGTCGAAATACTGCAAAAACACTAGGTCTTGGCCATCTAGTGGGAAAATATTGAGATCCAAAGAGAGACAATGCATGCCACGTCCCACGTGGTGAGATCATCGAAAAATGTGTCAAATTTGACAGTTGACATGGCTCTACCAAATAGTGAATAACTGTTTTTATAGGAAGAATATTATGGTTTGAGACTTTTAAATACGTCTGTGAATATATTAGGAATCCTTTAAGTATACATGTATTCGCTGATTTCAAGTCGTAAAGTTGAGATGTTGGATTTAGGATTTAGACACATGAAAACTAATTCCGACGCAACTTTAATTGGACACACACAGATGATGAACAGATCGTTCAAAGCTTTGTACAAAAATTGAAATTTGCTTAATTAAAAGCCTAATAGCTGTTAATTAAAACGTAATTAAGTACCATAAAATGGGGTAACTTAGACCGGCGGGGTAACTTAGACCACTTTTCGTTTTTTTACAAAAACCCCCACAACTCAAAAACTATTTGACATAGAAAAATTTTGTCAATGGGCATTAAAGGCCTAATACTGAGGCTACATAACACAATAGAAAGATTTAAAAAGTTTGCATATCTAATAGGTTAAAAAATTAAAAATGTGACCCACGAAAAAAAGCTATTATTTAAAGCCTGTC